CGCCCGCCACTACGCCCGGGAGAGCCGCTACTGGCAGAGGCTGAAAGAGCAGATCGGGAGGCAGGCGGAGCTGGCGGGCATCGCCCTGGAGGCCAAGGACTTGGACCGGCTGGCCGAGAGCCCCGAGGCGCCCCGCATCGTGGGCCGGGACCTGGAGGATCTCAAGGCCAAGCAGCACCTGGCCGCGGCCCAGGCGTGCCAGCGGCAGCTCCTCGACCTGGAAATGCAGATGGCGGAGCTGCACGGGCTCTTCCTGCGGCTGGAGGGGCTGCTGGCCGAGCAGCCCGGGGCTGCCGACAGCGTGGAGCACTACGTCCTGCGCACCCTCGACTACGTCGCCCAGACCGGCGGCGAGGTGAAGAAAGCCTTCAAGTACCAGCGGCCGTCGCGGCTCTCGGCCCTGCTGACGGCTGCGCTCAGCCTCTGCGCCTGCTGCACCTGCCTGCCCTGCCTCAGTGGGGCCGACCGATGAGCCTGAGCTGCGCCGGGAGGAATTTACAGCAGCTCTCGTGCATTTCCCCTCTGTGTCTGTGCAAGAAATGGTGTCACGAAGAAGCTGCTGCTGTCTTGTACTTCTTGCATGGCGGGGCAGGGACCATGCACACCTTGCACGACAGTGCGGGGACCACGCACACCTTGTGCAATGGCGCAAGGACCATGCACACCGCGCACGGCAGCACGGGGACCACGCAGAGCTTGCACGGTGGCGTGGGGGCCGCGCACAGCTTGCACGGTGGCACAGGGACCATGCACACCTTGCATAACGGCATGGAGACCACACTTGCACTGCAGGACAGGCACCCAGAGCACTGCAGCGCCCAACAAGGAAAAGCACTTTTAATACTATGGGACCTAACTTAAAAATTTAATGTTTCTTTTTTTATTATTATTATTTAAAGGAGAGGGAAAAAAAAAGCCTTTTGATGTTTTTGGCACAATTTGTTGTTACACACGAGGGGACTCGATGGCTTGGTGCCACCACAGAGCAGCGCGAAGGCTCTTCCACCACATCTGAATCTTTTTTCTCCACACTTTCTCCAATTTCTACTTCTTGGGCATTTTTTACGTGCCTTAATATCGCATTTTGGCCGTTGTTCGTTTGTACACAGGTGTTCAGGTTTGGGATGGGTGGCTGGGTGTCCCACTTAGCCCACCCTGCGGTGTGACACCAGGAGGGTTTATGCAGTCGATGCAGTTTTGGAGGGCCTGCAGGAGAGGGGCTCTTACTTCAACCTCCCCATCGCCAAATCTGCTAATACCACACGTGCGCTGGAAACTCGGTGTGACCGTTCCCTCCGGTCCTCGCGATACCACCTGAATTTCCCAAAGCCTCTCAAATTAGAGACGCGGCAGCAGAACTGGGGCCTGGTTAAGTTTCTCGGGACCGCTTCGCGGAAGGTCCCTTTGTGTCCTGGCAGTTTCTGGGGTCAGGTCCCAGCTGTCTCGGCCACCCTCAGGTTTATTTTCGTCTTCTGGCTGAGCCTTAATAAATCAATTTCTCACTAACCTCTTGAGTGTGGATGGGCGAGTTATTTCTTTGCAGCAGTTAGCCCAAATTTAACGAAGAGCAGAAACGGAATGACTTCTTGGTGTGTCTGTTGGGTTAAATTCTTATGAAACTAGAAAATTTAATTTTCAGGCTGACGAGTGCATCTCTTTGCCCTATATGGATATTTTCTGTCGACCTGGAAGACTCCCAGCATCAGGAATGTCCATCCTGGGGAGAGCGGTCGTGCCCTGGGGAGCCAGGCTGAGCGGTCTGCGCTCCTGCCCGCTTTCTCTTTCTTTTTTTTGTTTGTGAGGTCTAAATGAATATTACTTTTTCATTCAAAACTTGATGAATGGAAGTTACCTCTTTATTTAATTTTCATTTAAAAAAACCCACAACTTTTTATCTGAGAGAAGAAATGGTCTTTTTTCTGTAGAAAATTAACCGTAATGGAAATCCAGGATGGCAAGCGCAGCAAGGGTTTGTGATTTAAACGCCTGAATTTTGTGTTTCTCTCTTCCCTGGAATTCGTAGAAAGCACAAGTCAAACAGCACCGCTGCCGTGGGAGCGTCGGGAGGCACGTGTATGGGTGATGGAAGGATGTAGCTGGGACATCCCCGCATCCCGGGATGCTTTCACTGCCCAGGCGCCCCAAGAGCCGCATCCCCCTTTCCCCAACACGTCATTCCCAGGCGGCGCTAAGAAACCCACCAAAACTGTAGCGTTTTGTGGCTGGACCATAATTTTGGTGTTCCTTCCCGGTGCTGAGGCTGGGGACGTGCTTGGCTCAGGGCTGAGCTCCCGTAACCGCGCTGCCTGGAGCACGCTCCGAGCACCATGCGGTGGGGAAGGAGGGGGAACCCTGGGAAGTGAAGCAAACAAAATGTTGCGGAGCGGCTCGTGAAGTGAGGACGGGCCGTGCGGGGACCGAAGGAGGCCAGAGATCGAGTTAGTTGCTAAAAACTAGATGCAATCATGTAATTAAAGGTGATATGAAAATGCGAACACACAAGGGGAGGAAATACAACCCTAATTGCACTGAGTTTGGGCTCAGCGTCCTGAACCACGTTCGATGGGACGAAGATGGGAATAACGATTTTGTCAACAAAGCTTCACGGAGAAGTGACCTTCTCTTGGTTCATTTCTCTCCTGTTTGTCCAACAGCCCCAGGGGAAGTTTCCCGAAGTGGAAATGAGATAAAGGCAGCAAGCAGCAGGACGAGCTTTATTCACGCTTGCCGTGTTACGGTGCGGTGCCGCTGTGGCTCCTGCTCCCAACCAGCCTCTCCAGCGCGGGGCAGGGACCGCCTGCCCTGTCCCACCTCATGTGGCCAGACCATGGGAAACGCCCTCTACATCTTATATTAAAAAACACGTTTGATGTGCAGTTGCAAAAGCAGCCTCCTGGGAAGCACTGAAGGCTATTTGCAGACTCCCAGGATACACAGAGAAGGGAAAAACCTCAGCGAGGAAGGAGAGGTGGCAACTCCAAATGCAGCGTATCTTACATTTAACCACGCTTTATGCAACACCAGCGTGGCTCCGTGCAAACAACCCCTCTGCAGAGCGAGCGCCGGCCTCGGGAGAGACCTGCCTGAGCCCTGGCTTGGGTCACCGGGCAGCACGCAGCGCCGGCAGCCCTGCAGAACTGGTTGAGCTGCTCAGTAAATGATTATCCATAAAGCGCAGGAAAAACACCGTGTGACGGTCGGTGCTTTCAGCCAGGGCATATTCACAGGGGTTTTCATGGAGCACAACCTCCTCCGGAGCCCGGCACGGGGGTGATGGTCCCCGAGCGCTGGCTCCTTTGCTGGTGGGGCTGCAGCTTTCTCTGCCGGCAGCAGCAGCCGGTGGCACACGCTTTCTTGTGTACGGGATTAACAAGAAAATAGCCCTGATTTGTGCTACGAGGACAGGTGAGAAGTTAAAGAAGTGGGAGAAAAAGAGGAGAAACTTTGCACCTCGGAGCAGACCTTTCCACCGATGGCTTCAGGGGTTTATGAGACTTTATGAGTTTATTCACCAGTTGTTTTTTCTGATGCTTGGCTGCCTTTCATTAAATATTGGCCTCAGATGGAGACTGATTAATGTATAGCAAAGTAATTAATAATATTGTAACGTGGGCATGAACATTCGTCAGGATGGGAAAGTTTCCTTTCTCTTCCGAGTAAAGGTTGGGACTTCATTTGGAGCACGTTCGCTTTATGAATATGCCTGGAGATGATGAAGCCAAGGTGGAGGACCTGCTTTAATGATTCAAAGAATATACATGAGAGGGCTGTTTTAATTATTTCCCAAATGGGCATCATAAATTTAGGAAGTTCACACTTCAGGGGAGAATTAAGAGAAAGCCAAACACGTTAAGTTAATATCAGGCTACCCAAACCCCTTAGCTCTGTTCTGTAACGATGTGCTCAGAATGAGATGCATTAAAAAAGGAACTTTTTAGTAAAATGCGTTAAAAGGAGTTGGCTTAAAAGTGCAAAGCCTTTATAACTGCGCTGGCAGCACACACTGGTTTTCAGTTGCAAAGTCTTTCAGTTGAAGAAATGTCACTGAACGTAATTTTTTTGAAGAGTATAAAATCTTTTCCTGGCATTTCGACAAGCAAATAATTCCAGAACAATTTTATCCCCCTATAGGACTTTTTTTTTAAGGCGAGGTAGATTATTACAGGTTAACAGTCTGTCGTTCCTGCTCAGAGACCCCGGGAGGACTCGTGCGTTCCAGTACAAACACTGAATTTTTATCCCTTCAGCACTGCTGATTTTTCATGTCACAACAAATACTCCCCAAACGGAATAATTTCTTGTAAATGCAGCATTTTAAAAGCCTCCTGAACGTTGAATAGGAACTGAGTTCCCGAGTTCTGTTCAATTTGCAGCATATGTTTGGCCAAACCTCTAGACATACATGTTTATTGGCAAAAGCGGAGGGGAAAGTTGCATCAGTGTTTAGGACTGTAATTCCATTTTGCCGTACTCCAGTTGCCCTTGAATAACACACCCTGGCACGAGAGCAAGGATGAATTCTTAACTCAAAATATTTATATATTTTAATTCAAGATGAGAGATTTAATGAATTATATTTTCATTTTCCTCAGACTATTCCCATTGAAAACCATCACCCAATATTTCCATTTCCAGAAACTTTCCAAAAAGTGGGTTTTTTTATTCAAAAAGGCTTTGTATACTGAATAACACTTGGTATTTTTATTTCGAGTATACTTAACGTCAAACTAGAAATTCATTCTTCTGTGTGGGCTACCAAGTTGCTGCGATGCTTCAAAACACTTTTTACATTTCATTCACCAACACAAAAATGTGTCAGCAGTTTAAATTGACTTGATTTGTTTTTCCCCGGTTTTTCCTGTATTTTCCAGTGAATCAACAACTCTATTCATAGAGCTCATCAAATATCTGCTGCTGCTGCCTGACTGACAAATGCAGAGATCTGGCTCACAAGCCTTTCTGCAGGAGTAGGGATCACTGCCAAGAAATTCAGGGGAGCCACTTCTTGTCTTTCTGGCAACAGGTTGGAAACTCCATCCTTGGTTTTTGTTGGCAAACTGGGCTCACTTCAGTGTCAGTTTGGTGCTTACTTCAACTGGATGTCTTTGGTGTCCCAGCAGCCTGATCTGCGTGGGCAGCATGGAGCAGGTCGCATCTCAGTTTTAGATCCTTTTTGAGGGCGTTTCTCTAACAGGCGTGAAATAAATTGTGTTTTCCAGTGTTAAAATATTGCGGTTGGATTTCCCTGGCAGGGATGAAGTTTGATCTCCATGCCTCTTCCCGCAGTCAACTCATGCAAAATCTGCCAGAGGTAATTTAGGATGAGGCAGTTCATGTTTTTTACAGGCGTCCCTATCTTAGAAAATCCACTCCTGTGGTCTGTTGACCTGCAGCTTTCAGAACAAGAAGTTTCTATGAAGCTTTCTCCAACGCTGCCTTCTAGTGGGTCTTCATGGATGTGCTGCTACAACT